GGGAAAAGTATGCCCATTATAAGTTAAAGGTAAGTCTGCTTCAACAAAAATGGTACTTGTGCTCCTCAAGATTTGCGTTTTCAATTGGGGAAAGGGAATTGATAAATTACCTAATATAGATTCATTTAGAGTGTTCCTTCAAGTCCTGACTTGTAAAGACAAATGTTGTTTTACTTGATTTGTCATGAGCATTTCATTGCATTCATAGTGTATCATGTGTATCTTGATGTGAGTTTCCGAGCAATAACGGTAAAGGTATTCTTATTGTAAGCTAAAAGGTAATTGTGCTTAAACGAAATGGGTAATTGTGTTTCTCAATATTATCTTTGTTATCTGGTCGATTTAGGATAGTGGTATAGGTGAATTGACTCTTGTTCTATAGAACCTTGATGGGTAAAGGCAATTAGGCAAGTGTTTACTTGCTTGATTTGCAGTCCATATTGTATAGTGATTACATCATCTTTATGTAAGTTTTGAGCATCATCTATTTAGAAAATTGTTCTGTTCCTTTATTGTGTGGCATATGATATTTTCCAAATTTATCAATCTGCCTCTATATGTTTTTGTATGCTGATTTTAGGGGTCGCCATGCATCAAAGGTTACTGAAGAAGAGGAAGATGAGGAGTGTTTAAAGGAGGAAGAAACTAAGCCTTCCAATACAAGGTTGGTCACTCAACTTTCTTATGTGTTCTGCTATCCATTTTAAGTGTTTTATGACAAGCTAGGTTCATGTAATAAACCTATAGAGTTGGTTTTATATAGTGAATGCCCATTTAATTTTCTCTTGGAGCATCTGATGATTTACTTTTTTTCATTAGAGCATGTTTTTGTTAGGAAACTATTGATTGTGTCTACCCTATACTTATCCTTTGCATTTCTCAAGATTGAATTTTCTACATGAAATACTTTGAAACATATGAATTATCTTATCACTGAAACTTATAGTAGAGATGCTTGAATTTGCAATGGCTATCTCCAATTCCATCTTATTTAGCTCTTTCTTGTAGTGCTTTATTGTCATTGTATATTAGATATGAAGTTAGAAAAAATTTCTGATAGCACACATTACCTAAGCTGGGATTTGAATGAATTTTAGTACATGAGGTTTTGGTTGGTCTTTCGATGGTCAATATAGTGTATTTGGACAAATGGACAAAGTTATACATATGGGGGAGAGGGAAGGAAAGAGGAAGAGATATCATGATATCCCCTAAAAGAGTGGCATAACTGTTTTTTTTTAAGAAAAAATAAAATATGTCTTATTGTGAAGAGTTTAAAAACAAGCTAATATAACTTTCCTCTAAGGGCTAGCCATTTCGCATGCATCACGCGCGTTGGCCCCCCTAGTTTGAGAAAATACAAGGGTTTTTTCTACGTAGTAACCTCTAAATTTCCTTTTTCTACGATGTGCCTCATTTTTTAGAAACCTACACAATAACCCCAAAAGACATTTATTTTCTATATGATAACCTTGTCGTTATCTGACCGTTAACAAATTCCGTTAGTGGGACCCACTCTCCACTTGATAATAATTTTTTATCGATTTGCGCATTAGAAATTGTTCCCTTAGATACTTTGGCTCTTATGGGACCAATTTGAGCTCAAATTTTGGAAAAAAAAACATAAACACCTCTTTCTTCTTATTAAAAAAATGTCTCGATTTACGTGTTTACGTATTAATACACAAAAGGAGGCATTTACGTTATTTTTTTTACCAAATCTAAGCTCAATTTGGATCTTTAAGATCAAAAATAGCCCCCAATACCTTTAATGGAACATTTTTCAATATGCAAATCGATAAAAAATAATTATTAAGTGGAGAGTGAGCCCCACTAACAGAATTTGTTTACGGCGGATAACAACAATGTTACCGTATAAAAATTAAATGTATTTTGGGATTATAGTGAGGATTTCTCAAAAGAGGGGGTATATCGTAAAAAAATAGAAAGTCAGAGGGTTATAACGTAGAAAAATTCAAATACAAGTTATCAAGTGGTATGTTTGTACGTAGTAAATATTTTACTAGAGATTTCTGCTTTAATAAAAGCTACAAATTTTTACCTAGACTCTAGTCTAGGATGAAATCCCTGCACCCCCTTGCAAACAACGCCGCATCACTATTGTTTTTAATTTCTTTCACCTTCAAACTACAGGACAATCTAACTTGATCTCCATCTTACATCTTTGTTGATCTCTCTTCTCCGTCGATCACAAAATAACTTTTGGTAGAATCGCTACATTTGCATGCTTTAAATATATTTATGAATTGCAGAGATTATTGTGTATTGATTTAATCAAAAATTGATTGTCGTAACTTACGATCAATTAGTTCAACAAGCAAATAACTAGCTTAATCAAACAGCCAAGCCATATCAAGAAACTAACACAAAAATTATAAAAATAATTTGATCCAATATTTCCTAATTTTTTTTGTGGGATGAAGATCTGGAATTATATATGCTAGTTTACTGTCGTGGTGGAGGCGATGACGACGCAACTAAAGTTGTCGATTACTTATTGTTCCAATTTTTAATTTACTTTGTAGTTGATGCCAAATATGAAAGTAATAGAGAAGGAGAAGAAAAAGATGAAAAATGAAGCTTAGAGGATTGTAGAGTATTAAGAAAGAGAGAGAAAATTATGAAGACTAAAGCTCAAGAAAAGATACCATAAACACTGTACCGTACTGTATAATGAATTTGTTCATGAATGAAAGACAAACATAAATGAACATACAATATTTTGTAATTGAACATTTAATTATGGTTTGATAGAACATTTACTTATTTTCATAGATGATAAAAAATTTATAAAAGTTATCTTTTTTGTATTATTAAAGGAATTTGAGGATAATTATTGAAGCTTATGTGAAAAATAAACATATATTAAAATTTTGTGGAGATATGAAGTATATAATATTTATACATATGAAAATGAACATCAAATAATATATAAATGAACATTTTTTTTATCATTTTCATGTAAAGCTATAGAAAATCAAATTGTTTTTGAAATTCCTTATTAAATATGTAGAAAATATATAAAGACCGAAGATGGAAAAAGTGTGGACATTTATCAAAAATCTAATGATCGTCTATTAATATGCGAATAACGATCATATACTTATATATAAATAAACATTTATCAAAATGAAAATGAACATTCAACAAAAAGAATGTATTGTAGTTCATCAAGTAAACACTATAGGTTGTGCAATATGAGTTTGTTCTCTTGTAGCTATTGATTTAACTATATTGTCAATATATTCATAACTTGATGTACGTGTATAAATATGACAATGAACATGCATCCATTTCTAGATGAGCTTATTTCAATACAAGAATGAACATTTATTAAAATATCCTGAAATTAAAAAGAAAATTAACAAATGTCTTAACCGTGCTTTTAAATTATGGGATTGAACAATTGCAATACTACATGTATAAACATCTACTAAAAAATCGAAATATACATCTATTAATATCCTGACTATGTATTTACATGAGAATGAACAAAAGACTTTGATAAGAACATCAAATTTATTTATAAGTAGTTTAAATATAATAAATATGAACATTAGACGCTATATATATATATATATATATATATATATATATATATATATGATAGGAAAAATAACACATGAAAAATTATTAAAAAAAAACAATATATACATAAAAATGAACCTAAAAGAGTATAGAAACTGACGTGATCAACATAATATGTAAATGAGCATCTACTCACATATAAATGAACTTATAATGGAATGATAATGAACATGGCATAAAATTAATGAGCATTAAAAAAATATATGTGGTTAAACATATAAAGCTCTACTCAATGTTTTTAGTATCTTACTGCTTGCATAAAATATACTTTTATCTTAGGTGTGACATACAAATGATACATGCAGGCTAAATAGTAAGTACTACATATACTTAATTACCTACTACTCCATACTGTCCATAAAAAAGGGTACGTATTTGTAACAATCAATACACATTATTTACAAAACGTGAATGAATGTCTATCAAAATTGAAATAATAAACTTATCAAAATAAAAATGAACATTTATCAATATGAAAATGAACATTTATTAATACGAAAACAAAACATACACCATGTATATATCAATATCGCAATAAATATATATAAAATAAAGTGATCTTGTATCAATATGGAAATGAACATTTATCAATATGAAAATCATTAATAAAGTTAAAATAAAAATAATACTTTAATAAATTTTTTTGACTTGGGAAAGAAAAAGAAAGCAACTATGCTTATGATAACTGTCAATTAGAAAGAGAAAGCAGAATTAGAGACTGAAAAATTTAAGAGGGACAAATATTGATGGGAAATTTATTCAATGAAATTTTTGTTGATTGAATTTCCATGGAAATTACTAGTAGAAGAACAAATCACACACTTCTAAGTCACATAGACGATTAATCGATTATTCATCTCCGCCATCGTCGCCGACGGCAACTTTAGTGTTGGAGGTTTTGGAATGCAGAACCATGGAGGTAGTTTGGGGAGTGTTCAATAGGTAGATCATTACTTGCTAGAAATCTCATTGTCGATGAGCGATCTCGATGGTTTTATGAAGCGTGTCATTTTGATGGGTTTAGATACTGGGTTAATAAGGAGGCTAAACCCATTGTTTCAGAGGGAGTGTAGGTAGAGCTACATACACTAGAGTCTAGAGATATATAATTAAATAAAAGCTATTCTATCTTTTGACTAGCTGGCTTTGTTCACATAAATCAATTCATGCCTTTTCAAGCTCAGCTTCAATGAAAGAGTGAAAGCTCAAATTTTGAGCCCAACCTTTGTTGATGGGCTGGGCCTATACAACCCCTAAGGCCTATGGGCTTGGCCAATAACCGACCCAACCCATCCCATCTATAAAATTCTGTAAAACTACCAGCAGATGAAGGCAGGGGAGAATAGAACGCAATATGTGAGATTCCAGATACAAAAAACCTCCAACTTAAATGACGACCCAATGCCACACAATTTTCTACTGTAAATTCAAAGACATTTACAACATATTGCCTAGACAGTGATGTACATCAACTGAAAGTTCCTAAATTTTGCTTATGAATTTTGGAATGGGAAAAAAAAAAAAAAAGAAAAAAAAAGGTCGCATATACAGCATAAGATCAGTACTTTTCAGAGACTGGTCTTGAAGGAAAGAGTCTCAAGAGAAATGTTAATAACGACCATAGACAGACCAGAGCAACAAAATAGAAGGTTACAGACACTGCTGCTAAAGCTCCGCTTCTCTCTACCACTTCTTGGGTAGCCTCAACCCCACTCATCATAAATCTCAAACCCTCAACATAAGTTATAGCTCTAGTTAGTTGATAGAACCTATAAATCTGCCAAGAAAAGTCACAACCATTAGGGAAATATAGGTAAGATAAGAAAAAATGAGAATTAATTGAAGCAAACAGATACCTCAAAGATAATCGGAACTAAAGGCCAACAGGCCGATCCTCGTTTATCAATAAAAGCCTCAAGTGCATACTGACCCAGATAACCAACTAGCAAGGGAGTCACTGCAACAATAGCATTCATGCCAATCACTGGCCATGTGGTGTAAGTTACCGCTATAGGAGCAATTACCTTCAGGCCCATGGCAAAAAAAGAAGTTGATAGGTGTCCCTTCAGACCAGTTATGAGGCTCCATCGTTTTGCACTAAATTGAAGATATGGCCTTTGGATGCGATCAGTTATTAGAAGGAAGATTGCAATACCAGAATAGAACACAGCTTCACTAGAAAGGATACCAGCAATCTCTGTTGTGTGCCATAGTAGATCGCGATTAGTGTACAACTATGTGAACTTAGTACACAAACCATATATGAATAATTGAATTCTGCCGGGTCGACTGAAAAAGAACTCCTTTCGTGAACTAATGATCATTAATTTCTATATTACTATAATGATTCGTGATAGAAGAGTCTCTCGTCAATTATCATGACAACTAAGGACCATTTCAATTGACAAAAAAAAAAAAAAAATTTGCTCTAGAAACAAGCAGATGAACTATTCTGGATAAACACTGCAATGTTTGACAACAAAATGTAACTTAAGATCTTTGGGAAAAGGAGAGTAGAAAGCTTAATGAAGATCCTGCAAAATCTCCAACTAACACAAACATGACACATTGGTTTAAGCATATTGTTCGGTGAAGTATTTAAGGAAAAGAGCTATCTCTAAAGAGTGAGCTTAAATTTGTCAACAGCCCTGCATTAACTTCTATCAAATTAAACCTTTGCAGTTTGCAATAATATTTAGTAATAAGAAAGAGCCGTAAGATACTAATACAAATCTGCAGACTACAACTGTTATGTCCTGCAAACTCTAATTTTAGACATTTATGTGAGTGTCGTGCTTGCACTAATCTGTGCAATAGTTCAGTCCTGCAAGCTCAAATTTTAGAATCTTATGTGGGTGTTGTGCTAGCACTCGTGAATACATACATTTCAATTCCTGCCAATAGTTCCCAAATAAATTATTATTGGCATATGGACAAAATGAAACAAGCACTAGAATACTAGAAATCAAATATATCAACCTACTCAAGAACAAATAGCATGAGAAAGTTACCTGCAAGAGCCTCATTCTTGAAAACACCATCAAATGCATTAGATAATATTATTGGAGGGAGTATCAAAGATAGTATCAGAACAAGTGGTGCAAGAATCCAAATCACAGAACCACCATCATCCTTAAATGGAGATGAAGACAGCTTGCTCTCTTCAATAGCATGGTGAGTCACCCCATAAAACGAAACTGAACCCGATTTCCCTCCAAACGGTTCAACACTAGCATACTTAGAAGAAAGTTTTGATTTCGCAGGCAAATCAGAATGCACCTCAGGAATATCAGCATTACTCTTTGAAGGAACTTCCAATATGTCATTCGAATCAGAGTGTAATGCATATATTTTAGACACTTCCTTTACTTTTGGCAACAGAGATACCTTAACTCCCCATTTCAAATTAGAAATTGCATATGCTGAAGAATTCAAACCACAATTAGACATCAAAAAACTGAATCAAGCAAGAAAGCTCATAACAATTTTTGCCTACTACGTATATCTAATCAAATGGGCAATAAAATGAATTACTATTATTATCAAAGCAAAAATTAACACAACATTATATCCCCAGTACGAATTAGAGATCGCATATGCTGAAGAAAACCATAATTAGACCCCAGAAAACTAAATTAGCAAGAAAATTCAGAACAATTTTAGCCAATATATGATCAAATGGCCAATTAAATGAATTATTAAAGCAAAATCAACACAACATTAGAACATTACAACCCCATTTCTAATTAGAGATTGCAAATGCTGAAGAAAGTAATCAAATTACACCATAATAAGACCCCAGAAAACTAAATTAAGCAACAAAGTTCAGAACAATTTCAGCCTATATTTAATCAAAATATCAAATGAGCAATAAAGTGAATCATTAGAACAACAAATATACTTATACTTACATTTAGCAAGATTATTAAACTGGATATTCCGGTGCCCTGCATTAATCACGGTCGAACGAACCTATCAAACCCAGAAAATAATAGAATTAGTAACAAAAATTTCCATGAAATTGAACAATTTTCAACCAAATTTGAAAAAAATATTACATTTTTTACAGAGTGAGGATGAGGAATCGTCGGGGATCCAAAAGAACAACAAATGGATTGCGAACCCATTGATTGAATTTATTTATTTATTTTTTTTTAAAAAAATTGGGTAGGGTTTTAGGCAGTTGAAGAAGGGTTTAACATTTCTAGTAAGTGCTGTGAGTTTGAGATAAAGTTAACAGTGAAAAGGATGTTGTCTTGTTTAATTCCTGAACTATGTTGGGCTTTAAAAATTTGATGCAAGGCGGGGTTGGGTCAAAATATGGATTAAGCCCAGTCTCAAAACATTTATTCCCATTTTTTAAGTGTTATATTTTAATCGACACATTGTTTTAGACAATTTAATTGACCTAAATAAAATAAGAGATAAGTGGGGTATTTGGGGTATTAAAAATTGTAAAAGAAAGATAGTGGGGTTAATAATTTATTGAAAAGAAATGAATGTGAGAGAAAAGATATAATATAAAAAGTAGTAGTGGGGACCATGAGAGGAAAGATATATAATATTTTAATGTAGCTTTTTGCCAAGAAAGGAAATATAACACTTATTAAAATACGGCCGGATTTGATAAGTGTAACACTTATTAAAACATGGAGGGAGTATTTGAATTCAATCGTTAATAGATGAGGGGAAATTTTATCCAGAACTACCCTAAGGCCTCGTTCTTTAGAGCTGCTCTGCTATATTCTGTTGAAATCTGCTCTGCTGAAATTTGCTCTGCTCTGGTCTGCCCTGCCCTGCTTAAAAATAATAATAATAATAATAATAATAATAATAATAATAATAATTTAATAATAATAATAATAAACAATTAATATTTATTAATAATAATGATAAATAATTTTTAATAATAATATTATTATTAAAAATTAATATTTAATAATAATAATTAATAATTAATATTTTAATAATAATAATATTAATAATTATAATAATATTTAATAATAATAATAATAACAGTAATAGTAATAATAATAGTAAATATAATAATGATAATAATAGTAATAATAATACATATAATTAATATTATTAATTATTATAATAATAATTGATTTTTTTAATAAAAATTAATATTTATAGATAATAACTAATATTTAAAGATAATACTAATTATTAATTTTTAATAATAATAAAAATAAGGAAAAATTGAATCTAATAATCCCACCTTTGCTCTGTCTGCTCAAAAGAAGCCCAACTTTTCGAAATCTAGGAACAGGCCAACCTTTGTCATGTATTTTCTTAAAACAAGCCCAATTCATTAAATGAACGGTAAATGGAGTTTCTCCTTTCTTCTTCCAGTCACCTTGCCCTCTTTTATACTGTTGACCGTTGGAGAGTAATTAATCACCATTACTCTTCTTACTCTGTGTCATCCTCTTTAAAAACCCACCTCCCCCATTACTCTTCTTACTCTCAATTTCTTTGTTTCTTCTGCAATGGCAAGTCATGCTTCTGGTTCTTCCACTTCAAGGTCACGTTCAAGGCTATCCCCCTTCCCTCACCAGGTGGTTTGCTACCACAATGAAGTGGCGCCACTTAGGATGGTGAAGTATGATGGTCCTACCAAAGGCAAGCGTTTTTATGGGTGCTCTTATTGGCCGGTAAGTAATTCTGTTATTGTGTTAAGTTTGTGTGTTTCCTTAATTTGAGTGGCTTATTAATTTTAAAATTTTAGGAACAGAGGACATGTGGATTCTTCAAGTGGGTGGATGAAGTTGATGATGTGCGAGAGCTTCAAACCATTGTCATGGAGAGGGATACCCAAATTGCTGAGCTTGAGATGGAGAAGGATGAATTGAAGGAGAAGATCAGAAGGTTGAAGGCCAAGAAGGAGAAATTGGTCAATGAAGTTGAAGAGATGGGGATTGCAACAACAGAGACCATGTTTGCACTGAAGGAGAACAACAAGGACAAGAAATTGATGCTGACTCTGATTTTCTCATGGGCGTTTTTCAGTCTTGTTTTGTTTATGAAGTAATTATGTTGTAGTGTGTTGGTGGGGATGGTGATGTTTTATTTTGGATTGTTGTTGTCTTAATTAGGAAAGTGGATGTTTCTCTGTTTTTGGCATGTTGCCAAGGTTAGTCTTGTTTGGCTTAAGTTAGACTTTTGGGGTTGAAGGAGGTTGTTTTAGTTAAAGTTAAGGTGTTAAGCATCAGCATTAGTAGTAGTTTTAGGCTAGATGATGGTGTAATTAGTAGGTGCTAGTATGAAGTGATGTAATGTTAAAATTTGCACCATAAATAAATGTTGATTTTGGTTCTAAATCTGATGGAATTGTTACTAATAATTGAGCACATATGTGGGATAAATATGGTAAAGTAATTAACAACACAAATGGACATAAGTGAAAGTAACATTAAACTGATAAAACAAAACATGTGTTTTAAGGAAAATACACCACAAAGATGAACTAGTACATTTAGCAAAATACATTTAGCATTGTTGAAGTTTACATATGTCTTATCAAAATATAACCCTAGGATTGTTCACACCAAACTAAACTAATTAGAAAGCAATTTCATCTGGCTGATCAAGGCTTTGATGTTGATGACTGACTGAAATTGTAGGAGCAATTAATGGTGCTGTCACTAAGCATTTGAGGCGCAATTGATCCTGGAGGCTGCAAAATAGAAGTGGCAGGAGTTACATGGTTGCATGAGTTTAAAAAAAAAATAACACAATTGATGGTACACTTACATTGTTCATTGTAGCCCCATCATCTGAGATCAGAACACCAAAGCCTTGAGGGATGTAAGCTCTCCCTCTGCCTCCCCTTCCTCTTCCCCTAGAACCTCTGCCTCCCCTTCCTGTTCCTCTAGAACCTGTGCCTGATGAAGGTGAAGTTTCTGCTCCCATGTTCATGTTATCCCCTCTGCCACCTCTACCCCTTGTGTTTGTTGTGGCACCTCTTCCCCTGTTTGCACCTCCCCTATTGGTAACTCCTCCCATGTTGCTACCTCTTCCCCTGGTGACCACCCTACCACCTCTACCTAACCTTGAAGGTTCTGCAGTAGCTGCATAATGACCAGAGTCTGATTGCAATTCAGGTTGTTGTGTTGTGGAAGGGGTTGATCTAGGTCTGCCCCTTGGTCTTTTTGTTGGAGGTGGTATGGGGGTTTCTTTGGTAGGACATCCTCTTTTGTTGTGGCCCTTTTGTTTGCAACCACTACAAGTCATTTCCATCCCATGCTTTGTCAATTTTCCTGGTTTTTTAGGATCTTCAAATGGATTTTTCTTCTGCTTTTTCTTGGCCTACCAGGGCCTATTTTAATTGGGGGGGGGGGATCCATCTCAAATAGGATTCTAGGCCAGTGCCTCTCACCATCAAGGGGTGGGATTGAGTTCTCATAAGCTTTGAGATACACATCTTTATGATAACATGAATCAACATAATCCTCTGCATTTTCGTGTAAGTAGAAAATGGCAGCAACAGCATGTCTACAAGGGATCCCAGTCAAATCCCATTTTCTGCATGTGCATGTCCTTTGATCCAAATTGACAGTAACAGTGTCTAAGTGGTAGCTAACTTGGAACAAAATAGAGGTTGATGGGAGAACATCACACTTTGATGCCTCTTCTTTTTTCTTTTCTAACTTCTTTTGTATCCTAGGGCAGAGTGATGTTGTCCATTTCAACATTTCTTCTTTTTTTGTCACAAGTCTCTTCATAAGAGAAGCCCTTATATCCTCAAGCATGTATAGCAAATTTTTTGCCCTAGCATGGATTATATATCCATTAAAGGTCTCTGCCATATTACTAGTTATCACATCTGCCTTAACCTCAGTTTTTAGGAAGGCCCTACAAAATACCTGTAGACACCTAAAAATGTCTCCCCAAAACCAAACCCGATGATAAATAACCTTTCACCGCCACTGTTGGTCGGGTTTAGTATTTAATCCCGAGAGTGCTTAAAAAATCGTATTTTATTAAATTTTTATTTTTGAAAGGTCCATGGATTAGTCTTGGTATTTGGTAAAAGCATAGTGTTAATTTTAGCCCAAGCTTGTTAATTAATTTTAAGCCCAAACCTTTTTATTTTATTATTTATTTTTGGCCCAAATATTTTATTTATTTTTATTTCACTATTTTCTTATTTTAGCCCGAATAATAAAAGTCAAGAAAAAGCCCGAAATTATCAATCGGCACTTAAAAAGCCGAAAGAAATTAGGGTTAAAAATGAATTTAGACGGAAAAATGGACTGGAACTGACCGTGTCACGGTATAGCCTGACCGTGTCACGGGAACCCTTCCCGTGACACGGGAGGTCTGCCGTGACACGGGAAGTTCCGTGTCCTTTCCGCGTAAACCCTTAACGCGTTTTCCGTTCCCTTTTCTGAAAATTTCCCGCGTCACTCCAAAACTGTACCGTGTCACGGGAATATGTACCGTCTGACGGTACTGTCTAACCGTGTCACGGTACAGTCTGACCGTGTCACGGGAAACTTTTTTAGGGTTTTTATTATTTTAGGGTTCCGTGTGCTCCCTCAACACATTTTCCCTATAAATACCCCCTCATTTCTGATGTACGGGGCAACCAGAATTTTATGATTCTTATTTTCTCTCTTCTATGCTATTAACCTAAACACTAGCCTACCCTTTTCACTTCAAAATTCCTTCTTCAAGCACTCAAAGGAGTCCATATTTCACTCGAGGTTCTGTCCTTAAGCCAAGGCGAGAAAGGTAGAATCGTTTGAGGGTTTGGCCCCAAAATCAACCTTATTTCATTTAATTTAATTTAATTATTGTTTTATTATTTCCTTGAACTTACTAACTCGTTTATTATTTTGTAGTTGCACACAAACAGATTCAAAGTAAGGATCATGCTCTTTTTATTATTATTATTATTTTTCTAACGATTTTTCTTATGTTGTTGGAATTATGATTAAATTGGTTTTTATATTAATATTGATTCTATTATTTATTTTTATCACCATATTGCATGTTTAAAGGGAATATGTAATTGAAAATCACGACTAATAAGATGATTTGGACAACCGGTTTAGGTTCCTTTTTAATCTTATTTTTAATTGAAGTGATCACCAAATTTTTAGAATTATGTGTGCATTAATTTTAAACCAATTTAGCTAAATAATAGTTTGGAGCGAATTGAATATTTTGTTTCTATGCCTTTGAGATCACAGGAATGTTTTTCAATATAAGAATTGAGTAGAGGCCAATACGGGCGAATGTGACTCCATGACTCACTTCGTACCATCATCCCCGATCCTCCTTTCGTGGTTCCAAACCATATGGAGTTAGTAATCTCATGGATTATGAATGGGGTGTAACCTTCACGGGTCAATCGTTGTTGCCTTCGTTGTCCCTTATCGTGGTTGCCTTTTTATGATCCGTGAACAGTTTACAAGTTCCTTACAAACTTGTTGGCGGCTCCCTACTTTATTTGTCCCTAATCGTAATGTCAATTCCCACTTCCTATGAGTGTCGAGCATATTCACACATGCTTTTATGTAGGCGCACTTCGAACGACGCCTACAATACCTTAGGATTGTAAGATGTAAAGGCATCAGCTGCCTTAGGATCTGCCTTTCTTAATATTTCCAAGTTGTCATTATAATCAGCCACACTATATGACTTAGCACAAGACCAAAACATGAATTTCATATCATCTCCCCTAAAATTCTTGTGCCAATGTGCAAATATGTGCCTAGCACAATGTCTATGTTCAGCTCTAGGAAGAACTACTGAAACACTTCTAAGTATTGACTGAAAAT